GGAGGGATGGGTTAGCCTGGTGATGGGTATTAAAGAGGGCACGTATTGAATGGAGCACTGGGTGTTATACGCAAACAATGAATCATGGAACACTAAATCAAAAGCTAATGATGTAATGTATGGTGATTAACATAACATAATAATAAAAAAAAATTACTCCCCCCCCAAAAAAGTACAAACTTCAGCAGGGTATGCAACCCTCTCTAACCTGGCCATTATCTCTTCACTCTCATTTGCTTCTGATGCTCCCTCGTGACCACTCTGTCCCTTCGCATTGACTCCCGTTTCCCCCGGAAGGGCTTGTTCTCGCATTTCTGGACCCGTGCACATCTCTTTCTGCACACTATCCTACCGGTTAAGGGCTCAGGCTCTGATTCTTACTGTGGACTCATCACTTTTTAGTTGTGTGATTTTGGCCAACTTGCTTATCTCTCTGTGTGTCAGTTGCCACGGTGGAACTACCTCATATAGTTTTTGTGAGGATTAAAAAGATGAATGCCGGTAAAGAACACGGAAGAGTGCGTAGGACATGATAAACATGTCAGTGACACACACATCAGTAAGCATTGGCTGCTGCTAGCCTTCTTCCTTTCCCCGGAGTTCTGTCTCCGGCCCCCTGCTCCTCGTCCTGTACTTATTCGCTCAGAAACTCCCATATGTCCTGACGGACTCAGCTCCAGGGTCTTACTTGTAGGAAAGTTATCAGGAACTGCTGGAAGAGAGTTCTTCCTTCCCTGGCCCCCTTGCCTTGTAGATAGATGCCTTTTTATCGTACTTACCACTCTCTACCTCAAATACTTCATTACTAGACAGAAGCTCTGGAACTTACTCCCAGGGCCGGGTACACGACGGGGACCTAATACATACTTGCTGAGTGAGTGATGGATGATGATCCAAGGACCCGATGACAGAAACCAGGGAAGAGAATATTCCCAGCCAGCCTGAGGAGATGAGAATTAGGAAGAAACAAATGAAAGAGGTTGGAGTTTGATGAAGAACATTTTCGTGTCCGTAAAGCTCAGTTGTGGGACAGTGCCGCTCATTATTGTCTTCCTTCCTCCCCAGATCAGTGCGCGTTCTGCAGAGAGTAATGAAAATTGCACCTCGAGCCTGTTACAGTACTGCCATTTGGCTAATCTTGTCTGCCCCCCCCCATCACTGGAAAGGGCAATCCTCGCCTTGATGTCACACTGTTTGCTTCATTTTTCTCAGCATGCTCAATGATCACATGAATCCCAAAGTCCGAGACACCACTTCAAACAGAAAATAGCTAAGACCTCGTTGCAGTTTATGCCAAAGAGGCTGAGGAAAGTGCCCTGGAAGCAAAATGGCTTGCTCATATGGCTCCGAGAACTCGAAACCAGAGCTTCTGACCAGAATTATTGGGGCTGATTAAAGGAAGAACTTGACTCCCTGAGATTTAAGACTGTCCTTACCTGAGCAGACAGAACCCTCGTTTTGAGGATGTTTATGAATAAATAGGCCACTAATGGATATGATTTTCCAGGTTTCAGAGGAAAGGAATATGCTTGTTCTCTGCATCAGGAAATAAAGTTACTGATTCCTCCTGTCAGAACCCTCTGCTCTTGGGGGCCAGGAGCACCGGCAGTTGGGCAATCCAAGAGTGGAGTGGAGTCCTGCTTACCTACAAACGTGCGTTCTTTGTAGAACATTCTCTCAGGATGACTCTGGAGCTCTTAGGGCTACTGCGACTCTCAGAGCAGCTCTTTGGGTCCAACAGCTGCGCACAGGGTAGGGTGACATCGGAGCAGAGGCATGCCAAAGTCTCCATGAGGGGGGACCAGGGCCCCCTCAGCAGCTGCGGCTCTTACTGTCTTCAAAAGCAATGGCAGGGGTTCCTTCGGGACTGCAGGGGAGGTCCTTTGGTAGAGACTACAAAGAGTCCATGGGATACGAAAATTTTCACAGCCTAGGAGAAAGTCCCACTATAAAAACAAAACTGTAACATAGTTTGTGGTAAGTGTTTTGTTGAAATACGTGGGACTGTGTTCACTCAGTTTCTCAGCAAATATTTATCAAGCCACTGCTAAGTGCCAGATGTATCTTAGCGGCAGAAACTACTTCTTTATGTTTATGTCCACAGCACCTGGTACAGTGCCTGGCTCATACTGCGGGCCACACGCTCTATGCAACGCTATTTCCCTCAGCCTGGCCTGAGTTCAGGGTGTGGCGAGGCGCGGGACGGTGGGATGGGTCTTCTCTCTCTCTCCCTGAAGCTAAGGAACCTTTCACAGGACTCGAAACTCCTGATTTTGGCCTCTGTCATCGACGGAGTCAACCAAATTCAGTCAGAGGGGAGGGACTATTTGGATTGCCAAGATACTATATAATGAGACTCTTTGTGGCTAAGCTCCTACTGTTGGAACTTCAGCAAGTAATGCTGGCTTAAAAACCTCCGTGGATAAACATTGCTGCTCCCTTGAAAATTCTGGGAGTTCCAGCTTGGTTGCTGACCTCTCTCTGCTGTTTATCTATTTGTTTAGCACCAGCATTTCTAAAGCTTCCATTGTGTAAGGAATACTACCCTGGCTTCTGGGAAATACACTGAGCTATGCTCCCTGTCTGTGAGCTGGTCACGTTTTCAGTGGGGAATGCAATAAATGACATAGTCAAACAGCTTAACCATTATAAACAGAGAAAATAACTTTTACGGGCAGCAGCTTGCAACTCCAAATACAGTCTCGCCCAAGTGTTTGGCTAAGACACCGCCTTCTGTCACAGAGAAGAGAAGTGAAATGTGGGACGATCGCCGAAACATTATGGAATTAATAGAATCTTCTTTTTAGCCTCTGGGCCTTTGTACGTACTGGTTCTCCCTTGTCTCCCCACCCCACCCCAGCCCTCTATTTGTCTAAATTAAACTCTTATTTCTAAAAGATTTATTATTTTTATTTATTTTTAAAAGATTTATTTTTATTTTTAAAAGATTTTATTTATTTATTTGACAGAGAGAGACACAGTGAGAGAGGGAACGCAAGTAGGGGGAGCGGGAGAGGGAGAAGCAGGCTCCCTGAT